TTTATGAAGTTTGATGAAAAAGTGATGATTTTGAGGTTTGATTCCTCGTTTTTGATGTTATGTTGGCGATTCGATCGCATGGTTAAGTTCGTAGGATGTTTTTTAAGTTAGTGCGTGTGCTTGGTTAGAAGCCCCGAGGGCTCAGGAGTGTTTCGGAGGTGTGTCGGAGTGTTTTAGAACTTAAAATAGTTGCAGAAGTTTCAGTTCTGGTATGCTGCTATCCAGTGCTATGCGATCGCATAGGCTTCCCCGCGATCGCGTAGAGTTAAAATTCTAGGTACCCCTTTTTTCAATGCGATCGCATATAGTCTCCTGCGATCGCGTAGAGCAGCCACCCTTCGTTCAATGCGATCGCATTACTTCCTCGCGATCGCATAGTATAAAAGCCAAAAATCCGGAATGGGGTCTGTTTCTTATATGCGTTCGCAGTAGTCTTCATGCGATCGCAGTAGTCAAATTTCCTGACCCTAGGCGATCGCAAGCCTTATTCCGCGATCGCATAGGGCGTTTTTGCCCAGTGATTTTAAATACCCCAAAACAGAACATTGACGGGATTTAGTCCATATTTCACATGAGTCCTTCTTCTCCACAGCTCTTGAGCGAATTTTTGAGCACTTCTTCACCAAAGCTTCTTGGGTAAGTAAATTCCCACTCATTTCCTTCATCTTCCTTCATTAATTAATGAGTTTCTAAACCTAAATCATGTAATCTAGGGTTGAAATTGGGGAAAAAGGGTAGAGTTGGGGCTTTTCGATTTTCTTTGATTTAGACCTCGTTTTGGGGTCGAATTTGAAAAGAAATTTTATATCCGGGCTCGTGGGGAATGGGTAACATGGAATTGGTTCGAACCTCGTGTTTTGACCAAGCGGGCCCGGGGTCGATTTTTGGAATTTTGGGAAGAAAGCTTAGAAATTCATATTTAGGCCTTGGGTTTAGTTTGTTTAGCTATTATTAAAATTATAAAGTCGTTATTTCATAGATTTGCCCGAGTTGGAGCCGAATTCGAGGGGTAAAGCTATACTAGAGGCTTGAGTTGAGTTTGGAGCATTCGAGGTAAGTGTTTGTTCTAACTTTGGCTTGAGGGAATAGGACTAGGATGTTATTTGCTATCTGCTAAATGTGGAGTACGGTGTATAGGCATGGTGACGGTTATCTATGCATCGGAGTCTAGCATGACCGTGAGTCTTAATTGTGTTTGACTCGGATTTTTGTGATACATCTTCCTTGTTTAATTGATAAGTTTCATATAATGTGAATGGTTGAGGAAGAAATGTGATTGGTATATTATTGGAGCGTTGGCTCGAACGGGAAATTGATAATTGAGAAAGAAGTGATTAAAAGAGGAAGTGTTGTGATTATTCCCTTGCCGGGACGCGTAGTCTATTATTGTTGTTGCTCCCTTGCCGGGATTTAAGCATTATATGTATTCTCCCTTGCCGGGATATTTGGGCTGTTAGTTGTACCCTTGCCAGGTTAAATCGTTATGTTGTTGAATTCCCCTATTGGGGCCTCCTCTAGAAAGATTATATGTATTATTAATTATGAAATGGGATCGTGTGGCACGCTGTCCACTTATGAAATTATGAAATGGGATTGTGTGGCACGCCGTCCACTTATGAGTTATGAATTGGGATCGTGTGGCACGCCGACCACTTATAAATATATACTATGGGATCGTGTGGCGCGCCGACCACTTATAAATATATACTATGGGATGGTGTGGCACGCCGACCACTTATATGAGTCATAGTATTGATGTAGTTTCGTCGTTATATCCGTTGATCTGTTTTCACTGTATTCCCCCGAGCATGCCCCCTTCCCAGTTTTATTTGATGTTTTTTTTTCTGCTGTTATTTTCGTTGCCTTTGTATATATACATCTGCACAGGTTGTTTTTGGTAGGTCCTGTCTAGCCTCGTCACTACTTCGCCGGGGTTAGGCCAGGCACTTACCAGCACATGGGGTCGGTTGTGTTGATGCTACACTCTGTGCATCTTTTTGCACAGATCCAGGAGCAGCTTTTGGACAGCAGCAGTAGGATTGCCCGGGAGCTGTCTTCAGTCCAGGGACTCACGAGGTAGCCTAGTTGGCGTTCGCAGGCCGAAGTCCCTTCTATGTTTTAGTTTGTTTTCTTTGTTTCGAGACAAACAGTATGTAATATCATTTCAGACTTGTTTTTAGTACTCTATAGCAGTCCGTGAGCTAGTGACACCAGACTCTGGGTAGAAATGTGTTTCAACTTCCGCAAATTTTATTTCAGTTATATAAGTTTAAAGTCTTCCGCTTTAATTAAAATGCCCCGTTTATTTATATTGTTAAAATGTCATCAGTGAAAAGTTTTGAATATTTGGCTTGCCTAGCTCCGACAGTAAGCGCCATCACGACTCCCGATGGTGGAAAATCCGTGTCGTGACAAAAAAGGTTGACGCGATATAAACGGTTCTTTGATTACGACGTGACTCTTATACTAAGACTTGAACTCTTATTTGGTATGATTTTATCTTTCAAAAAATCTATTTTGAAATTTTAATTTCTAAAACTTTATATATATTATAATAATGATTATCTTTATAATGATGCAAGTGAAAATATTATCTTAATTTAAAATTCACTTTAATCGGCTATCTAAAAATTTAAATGATTCTTTCATTGGATTTATTTCAGTATGACTCCACTTTAAGTTTATCGATATCTCTAGCCCCAGAATTTGAATTTTTAATACCCTATATATACAAAAATTTTGTTCTTTGAATCATTAAATGTTAAATTAGTTGATTATTATTACAACATCGCATATATTGTCTTAAAATTGTCAAGTAGTTTATTTTTCGACACCATACTTGGCTTAACTTCAATGCAAACTACGCAAATTGCATTCCAATTCAAATTCGAATATCATATCAGTTTGTTAGTAATAGTAATTTTTTAAAAATGACACATAATGTAAATTAAAAAACATATTCGAAGATATCCTTATCTTATAATCTATGTATTTGAGTTGAAAAAAATATATTTGAGATCGATGAGATTAACTTTCAAATTTTTTATACTCAACAAAGATAAAACAGAAGAAGATCTTGTTGTCATCTTTTATTTCTCCTTTTTAGATCTTTCTAATATTTTTTTCAATATTTATTTTCTTTTATCTTATTCTTTATGTCATTATTTCTTTTGTTACAAAAGATTAATTTATGTCACTATAAAGGGATGAGTTTTAATAAAAATTGTCTACATATGAACTTTAATTATATTTTTTAGTCTATTGTTGAAATTATTTCATAGTTTTCTTTTGCCTTTATCTAATCAGCCTAAATAGGTGCTCACCCGACCACTTAAATTAAAAAATTGAATGATGTGTAATTTATATATAATCCATGTATAATATGTGTATAATCGTGTGTTGTCGGTATATCATCTATTTATATTAGCTATAAAAAGTAGACAATAAATATGGCCGAATATTATGTACATATTCCATAAGATTTCGGTTTTTTGACTTTATCCATGATAAAACTTCTATTATAATAATTTTAAAGCTCTCTACTAATGTTCAAAAATATCTTATCTTTTTATTATCTTTGAATTAAAAAAAGTAAAGAGTTTTTTCGAAATAATTTGTTTGCATTTTAAAAGAAATTATTTCACGTCATACCAATTTTTTCTTTATATATACTCTTTGTTACACTTAAAAGTCGCTATAGAAACTATCAATTAGAAACCAATTTATCTCTTGTTGAGTTTGAAAAAAATATCTTTCACATAATTTAATGATTCCAAACTAATATTCTTCAACGAATAAAATATTATACCCTTGCAATATTGGCTTGACTACAGCTAAATGAAGGGGTTTCAGCTTATACCCTTCAATTCCTTGAATGTGCTAAATTGAAATTAATGATAGCAATTGTATAGCCAAAGTTATGTTATTTGTTTGATGTCCATTTATGCAAATTGACTCTTCTAACAAATATTCTTCAAGAAGAAAAAAGAAACAACTTCTTTTTGTTTTTTAATATTGATTGATTTTGTGATATTTATTTCTCCAGCATGTATGTTTACTTTATTATATATGTAAGTAAACTTTTATTTTGTTTGTAAATTCTTTTTTGTTATTTAGATAAATATAGACGTGTACCCTATATATTACATTTATTTTAAAAGAATTTCGTTTTATTCAATAGCTACAGTGTTTCAAAGAACTATANTTTTAAAAGAATTTCGTTTTATTCAATAGCTACAGTGTTCCAAAGAACTATACTTATAGGATTTTAAATGTGAAAGAGTTTTATAGTTATATGGAGTAGTTTTTTATTATTTATTTATTTGCTAGAGGCGAAGTAGTATTTAAATAATTATAAAAAATAATAAAAGTTCCTAACGTGATTGCATATGATCATTAACCGAATTAAGTATGATAACATGATTAAAAAAAAGATAAATTTTATTTTTAATTTAAATTCGAATTTTAGAATTTTATCTATAAATTCAAAATTATACATACATATATATATATATATATATATATATATATATATATATATATATGTATAATAGTCCAATATAGAATAAAGTTACCATATACTGTTGACATTTATTAGGTTGTCACTTGGCTTAACCATAATGTCAATTATATATGGTAACTTTCTTGCTTTAATATATATATATAGATTGGTTTCACTTTCTTAATGCACAAAATGAGCGTTACTTTTGTCAAAATAGCAGAGAGAATGAAGAAGATGAGCTCACCTCGAGTGAGCTCTAATGACGGATAAGAAATGCCCTAGATGAGAGAACTTCTGGAAAGTTCCTTTTCATTACAGAATGAGCTGAAAGCTCAAACTCATAGAGAAAAATACAAAAAATGAATACAACCCTGTATAGATATCTACACCTATTTATACTACATACACTACTCTACTAAGTACAACTAGCAGAATACTACACAACTAACTTGATAATAATAAATATACACACGTGTCTTAATAACCCCCCCCCCCCCCTTCAAGTTGGAAGGGAGGAACTCACAGCCAACTTGCTACGTAAATTGCAATGTTTCATTCCTGTGAGAGGTTTGGTGAATATATATGCCAGTTGCTCATTCGTGGAAATGTAGTGCAATGTAATAAGCCCCTCGTGTACTTGACCTCTCACAAAATGGCAGTCCACTTCTATATGTTTTGTGCGTTCATAGAATACAGGGTTCTTGGCTATATGGAGTGATGCTTGGCTATCACAGAAGATTGGCACATGGACTGTTAAGGAAGGTGTCAACTCTATGAGTAGCCTGAGTAACCACACCAATTCTCCCACAACCTGTCTAGCAGCTCTGTATTCTACTTCTGCTAAGGACAGTGAGATAGTGTGTTGCTTCTTAGATTTCCAACCGATAGGTCCATCACCCAGCAATACAACATATCCACTAACTGATTTTCTTAAATCAGGGCAGGCTGCCCAGTCTAAATCACAAAAAGCTCGAATCTTGTAATCTTGTTTGTTGGATAAAAAGATCCCCAAGTTTGGATCACCTTTGAGATACCTTAGTACATGATATGCAACTTTCAAGTGTGGCTCCCTAGGACTCTGCATGTACTGACTCAAATGCTGCACACTATTGGATATATCAAGCCTTGTGTTAGTCAGGTAATTTAGCTTTCCCACTAGTTTTCTGAAGTGTGAAGGATCAGGCAATAGAGACCCCTCATCTACACTTAGCTTACTTGAGGGATCTAGTGGAGAGGTCAACGCAGAATACTTGTACAATCAAATTCTGATAGCAGATCCATAGTGAATTTCCTTTGTGATATTAATACTCCATCATCCTTGTACAAGATTTCTAGTCCCAGGAAATAATGAGGTCTTCCCATGTCCATTATTTTGAAAGTCTTGTGCAAGTAAGCCGCCAGTGCTTCTATTTCTTGTAAATCAGTCCTTGTCACTAGGACATCATCTACATAAACAGCTACAAATACTACTGAAGTGCCATATTTCTTGTAAAACAAGGAATAGTCTAGTAAAGAGTGTGTGTATTCCCTGGAACAGAATGCTTCAGTTAACTTCTCATACCATTGCCTGCTTGCTTGCTTCAATCCATATAAGGACTTGTTCAATTTGCATACCAAACCTAGCCTATCTACAGCTAAACCTGGGGGTACTTCCATGTATACCTCTTCATGAAGATCCCTATGGAGGAATGCATTATTCACATCCAATTGGAAAATCTCTCAGTCTTTCTTTACTGTTATCCCAGTTAGAGCCCTAACAGTTGTCTTTTTCACTACTGGTAAAAAAGTTTCTGTATAATCTACCCCTGCCTGCTGAATATATTCCTTTACTACTAGCCTTGATTTCAATCTCTCTAAGCTTCCATCTGCCTTGTGCTTCACCTTGTATACCCACTTACATCCTATTGCCCTTTTTCCAACTGGAAGCGGCACTATGCTCCAAGTATGATTAGCATAAAAAGCTTCAAACTCCTGATTCTTAGCTGCCTGCCAAAACAGGATCAGCAGCTGCCTCCTCATATGAACTGGGCTCAGTCTCATGGGAAATGGTTCTGGTCAGTTGCTGACTATCAGAACTTAGAGCATTGAGTGAAACACATTTGGCATTGGGTATGGAAACATTGAAGGAGAGTGAGGTGGTGCTTTGGGTGCTGCTGGAGGGAGAATCAGGATGACTTGTCTGTAATTTGGGAAGTGAATAGTTTTAATCTTTCAAGTAGGTAGGAATTTGAGGATTCTGGAAGGCCTTCCTAAATTTTCATTAGATTCTTGTATTATTGATTTAGGAGTGTTATTGGAGAGTGTCTCATTGTTGTTACGAAAAAAAGTGTTCTTCTACATAAGTATTAGGTTCACTTAGCCCTGGTGATGAGGCATCAGGTGACATAGTTGGGAGTGATGGACTAGGAAAACTAGGGATAGATGTTGACCTATGAGAAGGGAATAGAACTTGTGCAAATTCTGAATTTACTTGTGCAAATGAGGGAAAGACTCTATTGGAACTGGAGTAGCAAAGCAAAAGGAAATACACTTTCATGAAATATAACATCCCTTGATACATGAATTCTCTTTGTGACTAGATTGAGTACCTTGTAGCCCTTTGTTCCAAAGGGATATCCCACAAAAACATGAGGCAACGATCTAGATTCAAATTTATCTTTGTGAGTTTTTAGTGATCGCTGCCAACTCGACGCTACACCAAGGTAGGAAGAGAGGGTCGCAATAGCTTTTACCCGAATAGAGGTCGGGATCGATTTCCTCAGGGAGCTAGTAGTGGAGTTGGATTTTCTGTCTAGTCTAGAGATGTATTTGTACTCCTAATGTCACTTCAAACATTCTTGATTTTTGATTTTATAACTACTATGATAAAACTAATGATTAACGCTAAATTATGCCACTAGAATATTAGTTGTATCTAATGGGAAGAAAGACACTATGGTCGTGACACTGCCTAGGTGGCTAATTGACGGGTAGATGTTACTAAGGATAGATTGACATATTTTGGGCTTATGCTATAACCGTTGCACAATTGTAACCACTCTTACACCTCTCGGTAGAGAGAGTGATTTTGCCCAATTGACTCTCTCGAGACCAATTGGGTAGGCCAATTAGATCAAGCAACTAGGGTTCAAGTAGGGTGATTACTCTCTCGAGATTTAACCTGTTAATTGGGACTATCATTTCTCATGAGTCCATCCCAATTCCTTGTTGGGTCAATTTTGGGGTCATAAACTCTCTTTCTCAAGAAGAGTCAAACCCACAAAGCTTGAATCAGTGTTTGCAACCACCAATTCTTAAATAAAAACATAAAATCAACCCAAATAACAAACACCCATAATCAATCTAACCCTAGATGGCAACACTCATCAATTACCCACACTAGGGTTGAGCCACAACCCTAGCTAATGGGTTTAGCTACTCATGCTTGAAAGAGAAAATGAAGAAATAGATGAAGGACTAAGCATATTAATTAATTACTAAAAAGAAATCACAAGAATCTTTCGTAAAATTAAAGCTAAAGTGCCAAAAATGGCCACAAAACCGAGTCTCATGAGCGCAGCTGTTACTTGAATACAAAAACTTGCCTAAAAATGGTAAAATGTTCTATTTATACTAGGCTGGAAAAACTAGACAAAAATACCCCTGCGGGGTCAGTGCGGGCCGCACAAAAAAGGACCGCGGCCGCAGTGGCTCTTTAACTTCAACTTTCAGCTTCTCTGAACTTGAGGACCGTGGACCGCGTGGATTGAACCGCAACCGCGGAGGGAGTTGGCGCGTCCGCGCAAGTACGACCGCGGACCGCATTGCTTGGAATTGGCCATTTGTCAACCTCTCTGAACCTCATGTCCGCGGACCGCACGAAAGAGTAGTGCGGCCGCGGAGTCTAACCGCGGACCGCGAGAAACGTATCGCGGCCGCGTAGCCTTCAGCCTGATTATCCCAATTCTCTGAATCTTCTAGTGCAGCCGCGGTTTCTTTTGCGCAGTCCGCACTAGGCCCTCATTTCCTCAATTCACTTAGTCTTTGATACTTGAGCAGGTTTCACTCCTTTTGAGCTGATCTTTGACATTTCGTCACTTTGTCGATCAAACCTGCAATCAAGCACAACTTGTTAGCATTTTGGGACTATTTTGTAGCAATTTATAATCAAAGCATAGGCAAGTAGGGGCATAAAACACGTTAAAATCCTAACTTATCAACTCCCCCAAACTTAATCCTTTGCTTGTCCTCAAGCAAACAAAATAAGACCCACCCCCTAAAGGACAATCCAAGTAATTCCAGCTATACTAAAGTAACCTCAACAAGCATCAATTGGGACTAACAATTGCCCTCAATACAAATGGATCATTAACAACATTTAAACCTTGAAAACTATGGATCAAGTGTGACACAAGAGCATCAAGGATTGACTCATTACATCAAAGAACTCTCTCAATTACTTTAGTCGCTGTGGGACCCAAACTCCTACATCCTCAACTCTCCCTAAGCAAACCTCACCTTTAAGAGTATAAGCACACAAACCGAGGTTAATGGGAGTTCGCTCGTCTCTCTCAAGGAAATGTCACAAGTCCGGCTCTAAGTACCATATGCTTGACCCTCATGTAAGTATCCACTAATGCGAGCGTCACCCAACTCAAGATCATATAGGGCTTTTGTGGAGTCAATGTGAAGACTTTTGGGTAAGGGTAGGATATGTTTTTGTTCAACTGGGTTCAATCTTCCCTTAAGCACTTCTTTTGATTCATTTGGCACAATTCACTTGACTCTTTGAGTCATTTCACCTCTTCCAAGGGGTTAGAGAGACACATTGTCACTCTTTCTTATGCAATTCAAAACACTTCTCCTTTTTCTACTTTTTCCACACCTTTTCACTTTTGTTTTCCTTGAATCCCTTTTTATTCTAGTTCACATTGGGCTTTCTTTTTGTCTTTTTCTTTTCTTTCTTTTTCATTGCCTTCCTTTTCTTTTGCTTTTGTACCTTTTACCCCTTTATTTCCTTTCTTGTCTCTCCCCCCAAACATAGTATTTTGCCATTACTCAAGGGAAGATGTGGGTGCCAATAGAGTGTAGGTTTTAGAACGGGTATAGGCTTGTAGCATTGGTCCTTGAAAGAAGAAGGTTCAAGGCTCAAAAGGGGTTAGCTAGGGATTATCTCATTGGTAGGCTATGGAATTGTTCAGCTTATCATTTGGATCAAGGAGACCCTATAATCACTTCTCAAGTCGAATTTCACTCAAAATTTCGCCTCAAAAAATATTCAGGGCAAGTTCTAGACCATTGGCTCGGGACTTGGACTCATAATTCAATTTCTCACCACACACACTCAAGGATTGCTAAAGACGTAGAGTCGAGGGCCCACAACAACCTTAGATTTTATTGAGCACACAATAGTCCCGAAAGACCACATGATGTTTGTTTGGTCAACACAAGAGTCTCAAGGTCACTACTTTCACCATCCTAAACACAACCACTTGTCTTTGACCATGGGATCAAAGGCAAATGTGTTAGGCCCAAGTAAAGCTATGCTTGAAGTACCCTTAACTAAAAATTACTACAAACAAAAGAAAAATAAAAAACGGACTCAAACCCTTAAGAAGGTTGTCACGCCATCCATCATCGGTAAAAGCCACCCGGTTCACAAAATACTCCACCCTTGGAAAGAACCGTGGCATTAAGAAAACCAAGGGCTTATTGAAAGCGCCAAAAAACAAAACAAAAGGCTGCGAGCCTATCTACGAAGCTAAAAATGAATTTTTTTTACGAAAATAGAAAATAGAATGAATATTTACAATAGGGGATTAACATATACAACGGTGGATGAATATATACAAAAACGTAACTTTATATGCAGACCAAATAGAAGATAAAAAGTATGATAAAAGTACTGAATGTAAAGTTATATACAGCCCAAAATAGAAAATCAACAGAAACATAAACTAAGTC